TTCAGAAAGGACTGAAATTATTTGTTCTAGCTGTATAATGGAAGATTGTGATAACCTTTAGAAAAAGTATACAAATATTTTTAAAATGCAAAAAATAAAATAAAATATTTGATATGCAGTTAAACTTTCCTTCCAAATAATAATAAAATACCCCCCCCCCCCCAAAAAAAACAAAACAACCCTAACCATAATACAAAAATGCATAAGCAAATATATAAATATATAATAACTAAATAAATAAGTACATGCATAAAAACGCTGACTTTTCACCACTGCATCATCACACAAGCAAGCAAATAAATAAAAACTGAGCTTTCACCACTACCGAGCCCCTAAAGGGACATGGTGATGAAAAAAAAACCATGAGATGGGAGATATATTTCAATGCTTTTGCGTTCTCTTGCAAAAGTTTGCGTTTGCTCGCAAAACTTTTGCGTTCCCTAACAAAACTTTTGAATTCTTTGAGCAAACAAAATTTTGGGGGGAACTCAAAACTTTTGCGAGAGAATGTATTGACATAATTTTCTCTCCAATCTAGAATTGTCAAAAAGTACAGACTTCGGTACCAAGTCGGTACTGAAACTGTTTGAGCGCTGTTGGGTCGAACCGTAAACACGTCTGATTGGCCATTGTACTCATCGGATATGTCTGTGATTGGCTACAATGATCAGCGCTTCAAAAACATGTTGTAAATATACATCAATGACGCTCTTCACCGATACACAGATACAGACGGGAGCGTTTGAAAGCAGGCGTCTATCAGTGGACCGGTCCGCTAATAGACGCCTGTTTGTGCTTACAAACACTCCAGCTTTCAAAACACTTTCAAACACTTCCGTGTGCTCTCAAACACTGCGTTCATCACTGTAGCCAATCACAGACATATCTGATAAGCTCGTATTGAGGTATTTACGATTCCGCTCAACAGCGCTCAAAGCATCACAATTTTAAAATTTCAGTACCGACTTGGTACCAAAGTCAGTACTTTAGACAACACTAATCCAATCTCATATTTTTTTTACATCACCACGTCCATTTAGGGGCTCCGTACACCACAACATGCCAATCAACTGATATCTTGACTGCTGAAAATCCACTTGGTTGTACATGCATAGTCATACACCTATCCACATGAGGTCCTACTGCTCACAAAGTCATGACGTTGAAGGCTTATAAAAGCAGTGAAACCATTGTTGTAAAAATGAAAGCCTCAAAGACTGGCTGTCCATCCAAAAAGAGTAATAAGGACCCTGGCCACTCATGTTTACTAAACCTGTGCCAGCATCTAGATTTGCCAACTGGCACTTACAGGACTTCAAAAAGACTGAAGAAAAGGTTTCTCAGATGTCTCTGGCTTGAATTCCAAGCACCATTTCTGATGAAAACTTACTTGGCAAATACCATGAAGACAAGCAGGTTCATGTATCAGGAAGCTTTTTTTATGGGCTAGAGATTTGCGAGATTTGATAATTTGAAGGAGCTAATTGAATGGAACAAAACACAAAGATGTCAGCAATGGAAGAATCTCACCAGTCTTAGACTACGACAATGAGCCAAACTTGTTGTAAGGAGAGGTTTTTGGACATCTCTAATTGGCACAAAGAAAGCCAAGATTTAATTCCCACAGAAAAATGTGTTCAGAGACCTTGAGATTACAGTTCACAGATGATCCACAAAGCATCTTTATGGGCGAGACAGTAAAAACTGACCAAATTCAGTTCTGCAAATCTGGTAGACTTACAGCCTACTAAAGTCTCACAGCTGTAATCCCTGCCAAAGGCAGCTCTGCAAAATAGTGAATGAAGTACCTGAATTTAGATGTCAATGGCGGATTCCAAAAAGTGTACTTTTTAGTTTTAATCGGAAGGCAAAAGAAGTTTCAATTCATTTTGAAATATGTCAGTGAAAAACTTTATGTGCTGAATAATTTCTAGGTGCACTGGGATATTTTACACATCACAATCTCTTTAACATGTATTTATTTCTCCTAAACGACATTGAGATAAACTGGAGAGCAAATGGAGACTTTGGTTTTTTCTCCCGGGAAAAGTTTTCCATTAATCTCCTTGGTAGATCTCAAACTGGGCTAAAATTTGCCAAGAAAAAAAAATTCCACAATCAAACACCAGAAATCTTAATATGGTCCCTTGCAAGAGGACCATAATAATTGTGGGTCCTTGAAATCAAGAAGTTTGAAAAACCCTGATCTAACAAAACTTACACCAAAGACCCCTTCCACCTCAAAAATACATATGCGAGACATTAGTGATATCTCATGCTCTCAAAAATTGGATGTTGGCATATGGGAATAACGGTTGCAATCTGATATTGTTTATTTGAAATATAATGCTCCTAAAGATAGTATCAGGGTTTATTGGGTGTGAGTTAGCATTTGAAAGGCGTGTGGCAGTGGGATGTGCCAGTGAAAATCTGGCATTTAACAGATTCTTTCTGCTCTCATTCACCTCTCCTTATTAACATAGGGTCTTGGGCCCTGCTAAAGGACAGCGCTCGTTAACACTATGGATCTCTGCTTTTAACCACACACATACACATACATTCAACCAGAAGTCCATACTAATGCATGCATGGTCACAAATGCACACTCATACAGCACTCAGAGTGAGGATAAAAGATTCAAGGAGAAACACATTTCTGACAGGCAGAATGAGCCATTGATCTATAGGCTCACTCATTCTGCTGCAGTTACTCACTTCATTGGCGTCAAATGTGCTGAATGAACCCAACTAAACAGGCTGAGAACCATGCAGCAAACCTTCTTATAACCAACCAACACAATATTCAGAGTATTAGTCAATCAAAATGGGGTTTAAACCTTAACTTAATAACTTAAACATTTACATTTGGTAACCCCCAATCTTCAATATTTGGTTATATTCTTAGAATCCGACGTCAGCATCTCAGTCCAAACGATTAAGACTGGAACCTGAACAAACCAGCAAGGATCACTCCTTAGCCCAACAGAAATAAACCCACCCACTCGGAGCTACTAATGACTAACAAGTTGCTGTTTGTCTAGTACGTGTTCCTACTCGACTGTCAAATTCATCTGTGTCAGTCAGTGGATCACGTGAACTTCATTGTTTGCACATTTGCTCATCGTATCGCCAATGGCTAAACGCTACATCACCACTGGCTAAAGGAAACCGCTTGATAGGAAACCAAAATACCACAGATATGCCACGTTTGGTTGCCTTCAGCATGGTGTGTGAATGCTTTTAGTGCACAATAAAATCATTGTACATACACAGTTTAGGCATTTGGACATGTGTTTTGCATTTTTCCAACTGTAATTGTGCATAAGTAAAGTGACAATTTTGTTAACCAACCATATCCAAGCTAAAATGAAAATTGCCAGCTAAAATCTGAATTACATTTAAATGTGATTTAAGGACTAAACCAACCAGAAACTTTGAACTTTGGCAGACTTTGAAATGCTTCTGACAGATGTCACTGCCAACACCTTTGCAGTGTATAAAGGCGCTGTATAAATAAATTTTACTTACTTACTTACTTACTTACCAACACCTTACAACGATTGGCTGACAGCTGCCTCTTATTTGCATAAAGTTATAAAGCATTTATCATCTTTTGATGCTCTCACCTCATGCTCTGCACCGCTGTCAATCACACAATCCCTCATGCGAGCCTGCTGCTCAGTTTCAAGGGGTCAAGGTTTAGCATTTCCCTGTTAGCACCTGCTAGTAATGTAGATGCAGTAAGTCCACAGATGGTTCTTTTGACGTCCATTCAAAATAAGGTGTGTATTCTGACGAAATACAGATTTTTTAAGAAGCAACATATGCTACCAGTCAAAAGTTTTGAAATGAATAGGTTTTGAGCAAAAGTGACAGAAAAGACATTTATGTCACAAAAGATACATGCTTTAAAAAATGTTGTTCTTTTGAACTTCCTATCCATCAAAGGACAGAAATGGTAATAAAAAATATTGAGCATCACAACTGTTATCAATGTTGATGATAGCAAATCAGCATATTATAAGGATTATGTGACACTGAAGATTGGTGTAATGATGCTGAAAATTCAGCTTTGCCATCACGAGAATATATTTATTTTTAAAATATATTCAAATAGAAAGCCATTATTTTAAATTGAAATAATATTTCATAATATTACTGCATTTTTGATCAAATAAATGCAGACTCTGAAAGACTTCATAAACATAAAAAAAACTGTTACCCAAACTTTTACACAGTAGTGTATTTAACGTATATATAATTGCGTTGGGAATGCTAACGGATAGCTGTCGCATGTTACTATACTACTTCTCAGCTCAAAACAATGATGTCCAGTAATGTCAGTAATGTCCAGCAAACTGCCAGCTATCATTGCTGTTTTTAAATTACTGTTTAAACACCCTTAACATCTCACACCTAACCTAAGATAAAAAAATAATAATAATAATTAAGCCATGCTTAAACGCAATTAAAGTTCATGCACCCCTCTAAATCCTGGCTGCAGCGTGTGCAATGCTGAAAAATGCCACCTGCAACCGTAACACCTGTATCTGTCCAATAGAAACAGGTGAGTAACAGCACTTCAACACCGCACTCTCATATCCATCAGCACCATATGTCGTTCGAGAGGGCCCTGGGGACACGGTACAATACGCTGCAACCGAACTGACAAGTCTGACAGCCTCGCGACAGGGGGGAAAAAGTCCCTGTGAATTACAGTAAAGCTACAATAACCCACCCAGTCACTGTATCTACCTTCTCTCTCTCTCTCTCTCTCTCTCTCTCTCTCTCTCTCTCTCTCTCTCTCTCAAAGTGGTCAGTTTTCAAAGTCCGCTGCAGATGCACTAATGAAGACGGGTTACATTCAAGAGCAAAAAGCACAAGAGGAAGATGAAAAGGTAAAAAAGAAAGAGAACAATCATGTGCACGCTGAAAAAGAACAGGACAGGCAACAACAAAAAAAAAAAACGAGAGAGAGTTTGGAGCACTGACAGAACTCACCGTTTGCTGCAGGTCAGGGATGCCTATGCGGACGACCAGTGTGTTGCCCTGCGGTTCCTCCATGGGGCCGGCGTGCGGAGAGCGGGAGCTGTCCCCCCGGCTGGTGCTGGGAAGAGGCTGCGCAGGGCGAGAGTAGATGAGGAGAGGGAGAGAAAGAGGCAGCGAGAGAGGGAGAGAGAGGGGGAGGGCAGAGGGGGGCTCAGACGGGAGTTCAGGCTGCTGCTGTGGACGATCTTTGGGCTGGGAAGGCTCATGTTTGCCCGAGCCCGCACTCACAGGCATGCTCTGTGTGTGTGGAGCTCCGACTGCATAGTGCCTCGCTCACGCATACGCGTGCGTGCGCGCACACACACACACGGGGAGCTGCTGGCACACACGCACAAGCACAGGGAGAGAAAGAGTGAAAGCGGTGAGGGGAGATGCGATAGGGGGATATGCGAGAGAGAGAGAGAGAGAGAGAGGGGGGTTAGATGTGTACTGTGATTAAGCATTTTAAGCATCAAACCTGTAGGCTATAATGCCGGGTTAACACATTTCTGAATGTACAATAAAACAGTATCATTAAATAATGCAAAATATCGGATTAGCTCACAAGACAATTCGAATAATCTGATATTGATGATCCCTTACTGTAACAGCTCTTTGGAATTCTTCATTCAATTCTGGAATTTATATTAGATTATATTGTTGACCCAGGTAACTAATACACTAGATTCATGTCTCTCGTTACACTCTGCACTACTATAAAATTAAACTCCAATCATATGATCCTTTAGAAATCATTCTAATATCCTGATTAGAATGTGATTATTATGCTGATTAGAATTCACATGATTAGCAATGTTGAAAACAGTTTTGTTGCTTAATATTTTTGTGAAAACCGTGATGCTTTTTTTTTTCAGGATTCTTCAAATAGAACGTTTTCTTGTAACATTATAAATGCCTTTACTGTCACTTTTTGATCCATTGGATATGTCCTTGTTGAATGAAAGTATTAATTTATTTAAAAAACATTACTGACCCCAAACTTTTATTATATATAAACATATAATTATTAAATAAAAAGAAGGAAATATTTTTAACCTGTGGGCTATATAATTATAACAACATAATTAAATAAGGCAAAACGATCAGATCAGATACATACAATCTTAATGCAGGGCTCTGTGGAATACTTGATTCTGATTCGTCAGTTCTGTGTTATTTTGTATTGTGACACTAAACTCTACAGGCTAATTGAACATTGGCCCAGGCATCTAATTTCCTATATGGCTGTGCTAGTTTCATACTGCCTGGATCACTCCACACTCTTTCTTCTCACATAACAATAAAATAAACTCCTAATCAATATTTAATGTCCAATCATTTTTTATTCAGTAAACAGGATAAAAGGATAATGTACTTTTTCACCCAAATCATTATTGCAAAATAAACCCATTCAGGGTTTACATATTTGATAACTGACACAATTATAGTGTAAAATGAAAAGAGATTTAGAGCAGGAAAGGGAAACCTGTGGGCTTTGCAGTTTAACACACAATCAGACATATTTCAGATTAAATGATGATATCAGATATACAGAGAATTCTAATGATCTAATAAATTTGATATGTGATAATTGGCAGAGTTACAGTGTAACTGAAGCAGACGAGAAAGAGAATGAGAGAGAGAGAGAGAGAGAGAGAGAGAGAGAGAGAGAGAGAGAGAGAGAGAGAGAGAGAGAGAGAGAGAGAGAGAGAGAGAGAGAGAGAGAGAGAGAGAGAGAGAGAGAGAGAGAGAGAGAGAGAGAGAGAGGCTGTTGAACTGCTACGATATTGATTTCAAGCAAATATTGCCTTCACAGTCCACAGCAAAGCATCAACTACCAACACTATCTGACATAGTTTGGTGTGTGTTCACACATCGGCGAGTGTCATCTCATGATGTCAGTGAATGTGTGTGTGTGCGTGTGTGTAAATCAACATTTTATCAGGTTGACTGAATCCTATGCAGCATGACTAGATCAGTGCTGCAGGATAACATCACAAAACACCAATAAATGCTTCAAATGCCTAAGGTCTGCTGCCTGTGTTCAAGTCAGTTTTTCATGCACACTTGGGGGCTTGCATCATGTTCAGGCTTATAATTAATAATAATAAACAGTGAATCCATGCAGTCCAGTTCAACAAAGTGCCAAATGCACTGAAACAGGTATATGCAACTGCAAGATAATTCAAGCAAATGCATGGCACTATCAGCTGGCGTTATGTACTCTTAGTGAACCCCCCCAGCAAGCAACCAAATTGCAGGCAAGCAAGAAAGAAACAAATAAAGCAAGACAGCCTGACATGTAATCAGCACAGAGTAAAAGAGTTATGGATTCACCACAGGAATCCCTTCCCGCCCATCATTATGATGTCACAGTGCTAGAGCACCCGCTATTGGCTTCATCCGTGCCACTGACTCCTGCTCTCTTTTGATCACATGCCCTCGTCTTTGTCTCTGACGGCCAAAATCTGATTGACCTCATGTCATTGTTCCACTTTATTATGCAGTTCATCTCAATCTCGTCCGCTCCTATGACATGCTTTCACTCAGTCTCTTTCTCATTCCTTTGTTATCCTGTTCCTCATTTTCTCTCTCTCTCGCTCTGTACAGTATTAACTGAATATTTCCTTCAATTTGTCTTGTTTGGCAGCATAATTGCATGTCTAAGTCTTTCTTGCGTTAACACTCATGGGCATATTATTTTCTAAACTGTCATTTTTCAGTGTGAACACACAGAGCTGGGCTTTATGTTGTGCCGCCTCTGTGGGAGGTTAAATCAAAAGACAGGCAGATGATGTAAAAACAGAGGAAAGCTTTATAGTGTGCCACTAACACATAAATTATTCTGCTTGAAACTCTAGTGGACTTTAAAGATTTTAGGATCATCTGTATGTTAGTGCAATTTCTAAAAAAGCAGCAATGCATTTTCAAGTATACTGTGTGAGACACACAGTAAACATGATATTTTAAAGACAATATGCGGTTTGCAATATTAAATGAGTATGGCTTTTATTTGTCATTGCACTAAAGCCAAACAAATGATTCAAATATTACCTAAAAAAATGTCTACCCAATATTAGAATACAGATAGTGGACAAGCTAAAGGTGACAGAGGAAAACAAAACAAAACATGCTGCAAGAAAGGAGAGATGAACAATTAGGAAATTAGGAAACAATTAGGAAATGTTTCATGGCTGTGACCTAACAAAAGTTGTTTTTTTTCCTTTTAAAAAAGGAAAAGAAGTTTGAAATGTCCCACCCAAACATCCGGTTTCAGAAGAAAATATACAGACATGGAGAAGAAAACTAGCCTATACATCAAGTAATGTAAAGGAATTCCCTTTCAAGGCGGTCACTTCGACATTACGTCATACTGACGTATATGGGAACTCCTTCCTTCTCCATTTTCACTGAAATCTTATAGGCTAACGCCAGCTGGAGACAGCTGGCCAATTGACGCAAAACATGCAAATACTGACCGGTCCGCAGGCAGTATAAATAGCATGGGTGCGACAATTACGTCAGAATCTCTTTCTTCACGCTAGAAGTCTTATCTGAAGTCATCGTGGAAGTTGCAATAGAGGTTACTCACCATGTTTCCTCCCCGCATCCGATGGCTGCTACATGCCAGATATCTACAAGGATCTACCGAGGCCGCACTCACGGACGACAGGCATGTGCCGGTCTACCAGTGCGCGCCCTCAGGGGAATAAACCCGGGCATCAGCAGGGATGAGGCCCACTGCCGCCAGCGGCCGCTGGTGGGCCCTCTCCCGCCAAAAGACGAGTTGACCCTGCCCGTCGCCACTCCGGTCCTTTTCGCGGGCTCGCTAGAAGGACTCGACGCGATAGGCTTCGTCGAAAAGGATACTTTTATTATTTTACTTAGCCCGGTATCTCAGCCAGGCTACTTCAAGAAAGACTCCGTCTTCCACGACGTCCTATGGTAAGTCATGCGCAAGACCCGTCCAGAGAGATGAGGCAAGGCCATTGCTCTGTGTCTAAAGGCGAGAAAGTGTGATTCTATGAAGTCTCTATTACGGTCCAGCCTTCCTCGATGTCTCTCTTCGTCGGCACCTCGTCCCGCCTAAATTCGGCTACAGCCCGCCAAAACGGCTCCGAACCCGAATGAACCGGATCTTCACCGTTGGGAGAGGGCGGGACCGGGAATGTGGCGACACAGGCCACGGAGAGCGCCACGCCAGACGTGGGTCCTTCCCTGGCTTGCCTTAGACGCCCCGCTCTGGCAATGGAGGTGCACAGCTTACAGCTTACGTCGTCAGGCTGCCCTGTATCCTTCAGTGCAACTGGCCATTCTGATTTAACCACGTATTCACAGTCGTTGTCGCAACGCCACTGACGCTGTGTTTATGTTCACACTGCACACTGATATGTGCTATGATTTGTGCCGTTATATATTGCCCTGTTTCTTTCAGTGCTAATGGCTATTCTGATTACCACGTATTCACAGTTGTTGTCGCTATGCCACTGACGCTGTGTTTATGTACACACTGCACACTGATATGTGCTATGATTTAACTGTTATATCCTTATATATTGCCCTGTATCCTTCAGTGCAACTGGCCATTCTGATTTAACCTCGTATTCACAGTTGTTGTCGCTACGCCACTGACGCTGTGTTTATGTACACACTGCACATTGATATGTGCTATGATTTGTGCCGTTATATGTTGCCCTGTTTCGTCAGTGCAAATGGCTATTCTGATTACCACGTATTCACCGTTGTTGTGCGATGAAATGACGCTGTGTTTACGTGCACTCTACACACTGATATGTGTTCATGATTCATGCCGCTATAAATTGCCCTGTATCCTTCAGTGCAACTGGCTATTCTGATTTATCTATGTATTCACAGTTGTGCGATGCCACTGACGCTGTGTTTATGTACACTGATATGTGTGTGTTATGCTTATGCCACGATATTGCCCTGTACCCTTCAGTGCAACTGGCTATTCTGATTACTATGCAGTACGTATTCACAGTTGTTGCGATGCAACAGACGCTGTGTTACGTACACACTACACAGTGTTGTGTGTTGGGATTTATGCCATTATATATTGCCCTATAATTTTCAGTGCAATTGGCTATTCTGATTACTATGCAGTACGTATTCACAGTTGTTGTGCGATGCAACTGACCTGTGTTTATGTACACACTACACACTATGTGTTATGAATTTTGCCGTGGTATATTGCCCTGTATCCTTCAGTGCAAATAGCTATTCTGATTACTACGTATTCACAGTTGTTGCGCGATGCAACTGACGCTGTGTTACGTACATGCAACTCACTGTTATGTGTAATGATTTATGCCATTATATAT